GTTTCTTAGAGAAGGCCTTGTTACAAATTTCACATATGAATTGCTTCTCCTTTGTATGTACTCTGACATACACGTCGCTCGTTTCATCCTTCGCTTCATCTCCATGATCAAGTTGTTCCTCCATATTTTCCAGAGAGGTCTCTTCGGTGACATCAACACTGAGCTCTTCTTTGATGCTGCCTCTTGTGCCGATTATTTCCTCGTCCGTGAGTGGAGCCAAATCATTAGTGTTATTAGTAGGGAAATCATTAGAATATTGTTGATTTTTGCTATTATTGTAATTATTACGCAAATCATTATAATAATTGTTGTATATTATTATCATTATTATTGTCCTAATTCCTCTACTAATTATCATTATTATTTTCATTATTGTCATTATTAATGGGGTTATCATCAAAATAATCCTAATTAGCAGAACTATTACAAAAATCATAATCATCATTTAAACTGGAAAAGGGGGTGTTTTCGACTCATCTCTCAAAAGGCTGTATTTCGCTAGATTTCGTCGGTATATCGACTTCTGGGATTTTTCTATTTTTAGCCTTTTTCTCATTATAGAGAGGCTTTATAATGATAATTATCATTATTATCGTCATTATTCATGGGGTTATCATCAAAATCATCCTAATTAGCAGAAGTATTGCTAAAATCATCATAATCATCATTTAAATTCGAAAAAAGGGGGTTTTCGACCCATCTCTCAGAAGGCTGTTTTTCGCTAGATTTCGCCGGTTTTTCGACTTTTGGGATTTTTCTACTTTTAGCCTTTTTCTCATAGATGGGCTTCATGATGATAATTATCATCATTATTGTCATTATCATCATCATTATTATCATTACTGTCATTATCGCCCTAATTACCCTTAATATACTCATTATAATAAACATTATCTTAATTATTAATGTCATTTTCATCATTATAATTATTTTAATAATGATAATGACGATAATGATAATTCTAGAAATAATAATAACAATAATAATGATTATAATATGAATAATAGCAGTGTTATAATTACTTTTATTATTATTTCTGTTATCATAGTCGTTATTACTAGCGTTATTAGTAGGAAAATCATTAGAATATTGTTGATTATTGCTGTTATTGCAATTATTACGCAAATCATTATAATTATCATTGCATAATTATTATCATAATTATTGTCCTAATTACTCCCATAATTATCCTTATTATCGTCATTATTTGGGGTTATTGTCAAAATCATCCTCATTAGCAGAATTATTGCTAAAATCCTCATAATCATCATTTAAACTCAAAAAGGGGGTTTTCGACTTATATCTCACTAGGCTGTATTTCGTTAGATTTCGCCAGTTTTCGACTTTTGGGATTTTTCTACTTTTAGCCTTTTTTTCATTATAGATGGGCTTTATAATGATAATTATCATCATTATTGTTATCATCATCATCATTATTATCATTACAGTCATTATCGCCCTAATTATCCTGAATATACTCATGATAATCATTATCTTAATTATAAATGTCATTTTCATCATTACAATGATTTTAATAATGATAATGACAATAATGATAATTTTGAAATAATAACAACAATAATGATGATTATAATAAGAATAATAGCCATGTTATAATTACTTTTATTATCATTTCTGTTATCATTGTCGTTATTATTAGTGTTATTAGTAGAAAAAGCCATTAGAATATTGTTGATTATTGCTATCATTGCAATTATTTCGCAAATCATCATTATAACTATCATTGTATAATTATTATCATGATTATTGTCCTAATTACTCTCATAATTATCATTATTATCGTCATTATTGATGGGGTTATCATCAAAATCATCCTAATTAGCAGAATTATTGCTAAAATCATCATAATCATCATTTAAACTCTAAAAAGGGGGGTTTTCGATTCATTTCTCACGACGATGTATTTCGCTAGATTTCGCCCGTTTTTCAACTTTTAGGATTTTCTACTTTTAGTTCTTTTCTCATTATGGATGGGCTTTATAATGTTAATTGTCATCATTATTGTCAGTATCATCATCATTATTATCATTACTGTCATTATCGCCCTAATTACCCTTAATATACTCATTATAATAATCATTATCTTAATTATTAATGTAATTTTCATCATTATAATGATTTCAATAAAGATAATGAGAATAATGATAATTCTAGAAATAATAACAACAATAATAATGATTATGATAACAATAATTCCGGTGTTATAATTACTTTTACTATTAATTCTGTTATCATTGTCGATATTATTAATAAGTGTTATTAGTAGGAAAATCATTAGAAATATTATTGATTATTGCTATTATTGTAATCATTATAATTATCATTGTATAATTATCATAATTATTGTCCTAATTACTCTCATAATTAGGTCAAATAACAGCAGACAAGTCAAGTCACATCATCACATCACATCATCACATCAGATCACATCAGATCACATCACATCAGACGAGTCAGGTCACATCAGACAAGTCGATTC